ACAGTTTGGGGGATGAAGAGATTGAGAGCAGCCCTGCGGAGGAGGTCTTGGGGGTACTGGTGGATGAAATGCTGGACATGAGCCGGCAATGTGCGCTTGCAGCCCAGAAAGCCAACCAAATCCTGGGCTGCATCAAAAGAAGCATGGCCAGCAGGTTGAGGGAGGTGATTCTACCCCTCTACTCTGCTCTGGTGAGACCTCACGTAGAGTACTGCACCTAGCTCTGGAGCCCTCAGCACAAGAAGGACATGGACCTGTTGGAGCAGGTCCAGAGGAGGGCCACAAAAATGATCCGAGGGCTGGAGCACCTCTCCTACGAGGACAGGCTGCGAGAGTTGGGGTTGTTCAGCCTGGAGAAGAGAAGGCTGCGAGGAGACCTTATTGCGACCTTCCAATACTTAAAGGGGGCCTACAGGAAAGATAGGGATAATCTTTTTAGCAAGGCCTGTTGTGACAGGACAAGGAATAATGGATTTAAACTAAAGAAGAATAGATTTAGACTAGACATTGGAAAGAAATTTTTTACAGTGAGGGTGGTCAAGCACTGGAACAGGTTGCCCAGAGAGGTGGTAGAGGCCCCATCCCTGGCAACATTGAAGGTCAGGTTGGATGGGGCTCTGAGCAACCTGACCTAGTTAAAGCTGTCCCTGCTCACTGCAGGGGGTTTGGGCTAGATGACCTCTGAAGGTCCCTTCCAACCCAAAGCATTCTATGATTCTATGATTCTATTGTGTTCACATGGGTGGCAGTGGAGTATCTGCCCAGCAGGTATGCCCCAGACTTCCAGCTGTGTCTGGGGCAATCTCTGGCAGCTGACCTCCCCTGGCCTGTATATTTACAGAAAAAGGCTTGAAATTGCACAGGGCCTTGAGGCACTCCAGAGGTATGTAATCACATTTTGATGAAGTTCACTTTCAAGAAAGTGAGTCCAAAGCAAGAGTGTGACTACAGCATAGCTGAGAGGTTATGAGTAACTTGGTTACTGAACTGGGCTCATTTGTACGGTCAAAAAGTACTGTATCCTAGTAATGCAAAGATCAGAGTTCACTGTGGCTTAAGAGCAGCTGCTCTTCGCTTCAGACATACCTTTGACTTTGCAAGCAGCCGTGTTTTCTCATTGCCTAACCAACACCTCTCAAGTAAGTCCCTTTCCAGCTATGCTATCACCATCTCTGCTGCAGAGCTCTTTCGGTCATCTGTCAGACGTCCCTCTCTCTTCTCTTTTTCTCTTTCCACTCTCCTCATGCTCTCAGAATTCAGGCCCTTGAATGGCTCTTCTCTTTGCTCTTCAGGTCATAGCAAAAGGCAAGATCCTTTTCAGTGGAGAGAAGCAGGTGCCAATTATCCAGCATGAGAGTGAGCAGAAATGCATGAAGTTAAGTACCTCATAACACACACCAGAACACTGTGACCGCTCCCCAGTGACAAACTCTGCAGCTGTTACTCTTATCCACAGGTGGGAGCTATTGAACTGAGTTCTTAGTTGTGGTCCACCTCATTAGACCAACACAATCTTTTCTCATATCAGTTCAGTATCCCTCTAGGTGACTGTCCTTCTCCTGCCTTGTCTAATTGATCTAATAGCCAATGTTATGACTTTGCTGCTAGCTTCTACCTTTGGAAAAGATATAAAATTGTGTAGCTTGCCTGTTTATCTAAGGTGCAGTAAAGAAGAGGAATATTATTGCCCAACTTGAGCCAAAGAATTGGCCAGTATCCTGCATTTATCGTTAATCCGTGACAGTGTCTGTGTGGGATGTTTTTATCTGCAGGTAGAAATTATTAAATTCCCTCTTTTGATTCTTATTGTGTGTCCTGCCCCAATGAGCTGATTCAGTTGAATGCTTTACCTCTCTTCCTTGTTGCTGTCTTGTGCAGATCTGCAGGGCTCCTTCTCATTGACTCAGACTATTGGCAATGACTTCCTGCCTGACATCAGGCTTCTGCTGTATGCTGTCTTCTTGGATGGAGAGGTGGTGGCTGATGTGGAAGAGTTTCAAGTAGAAAAGTGCTTTAGACACAAGGTGAGTAGAAACAGAAGGAGTGAGATAGCATCACTGATGTGCTCTGGCCTGCTGTAGTTCCTGGTCCTGTTTTATCCTCAGCCAAGTGGTGCAAGCTGGTTACATGCCAAACCACATGCCCAGTATTTTTGGCTGAGAAACAAAACAGGTAACCTCCTTCTTCCCTGAATTGCTAGTCCTGCCCTCCCCAACACCTTTCCCAAGGAATAAACTAGGCCCCCTTGAACTCTGTTTTCTCCCCCCATTCCCTATGACTGACTTGGGAACATACTGTCCTCCATGTTCTTCTTAACACAGAGAGAAGCCTGCCTGCTTAGCTCCCTGTGGTAGCTCTGGATCAGAGGGTGGTGGATGTGTGGTGGTAGGGGAATTCTGGCTGGGCTGTACACACTGCAGTCCCTGTAACCTTCCCAATGGGTTTCCAGGAGGCCCTGTCTCAGCATCTCAGCCCCCTTCCCTACCTCATTCTCTGTCTTTCCCTCTGCTGCCCAGACATCTAAGAGTCTCAGGGTCCCACTCTCCAATGCTAAGCCCCCTGACCCTGTCTTCTTTTGCAGGTGGCACTGGACTTCTCACACAAGGAGGAAGTCCCAGGAGCGAAAGTCAGTCTGAACCTCAAGGCTGTTCCAGGGTCCTTGTGCTCTGTCCAAGCTGTTGACAACAGTGTCCTCATGAAGAATAACAATACCCTAACAGCAAACACAGTGAGTGCAGCCTGCAGTGACCAACCCCCTAGTGTCTGCCTGCCTTCTGTCTCCATGCATTGGTGGGAGGAAGCCCACAGTCCATCCCAGGACACGGCTGCAGTGTTAGGTGTCTGCCCTGGCATTCCCCCTTCTCAGCCTCTTCTGAGCAGTTATGTGGTGATCATGTTCCTCATGCATCAGCCCTGCACTGTGGGCCTCTGCCTGGACAGAGGTGGATGCTGCGTGGCACTGCAGGGCTAGGTGAGGACAGCAGCTTCAAAGAGATGCTGGTGCTTTCCACTTGGAGGGAGAGTGCTTGGCAGCTTTCCTCATGTTCACCTGTCTCTGCTCTTCCACCTTCCACCAAGCAGAGAGGCTAAACCTTTGAAATGGAATTTTGCCCCAGTAGGGTCCTCCTATCCCTCTGCCCCAAGCATTGCTGAATTATAACCATATGACAGATCAGGCTGAGCACCTGAGCAGTTCTTTAGAAACCAGTAGCTAGGGGATAGCACCCAGTGCACACGGTGGCTGGTGAAAAGTGGTCAGGGTTTTGTCAGCACCCAGGTGCATTCTGAGAATCTAGAAGGGTTGAAGGAACTTACCTTAAAGCAGTTGTGTGTTTCAGAGGAACAAATTTAAGACTTAGAACAAAAATACTGCAAGAATTGAAAATCCTAACACAATTCCACAATGTATATCAGAGTTAATACACATGTATGTGCCTCATGCAAAGTTGTAAGTTAAGTTATAGCAGGCCAGCCTGTTACAAAGAAGCTTCACCAAATCCAGGGGGAGCTTGCTGCACCTGTAGATAGGACCCACAGTGTGATCTGGTGTTCCATTTTACAGGAATACTGTTCTAGGGCAGAGCACTTGCATCATCTACTAACAGATATATAAAGTAATAATCATTAAATATGTAAGTCAGATGTACCTATGCCTTGTGCTCAAATAGAACCATGCATTTTATCCTAATCTTGCGCCCTAGAGTTAAAAGGCTTGAACTGTCAGAGGTGAAAGTCTGCAAACTAAAAGCCGCTTGCCTACATCCACTCCTTGGGCTTCATGTCCTTCCCATATCCAGCCCATAAGCTGGGCCAATACCAACTTCGTCAACTGCAAAGCTTCACTAACTATAATAGAGGGCTACAATACTTGTGCTCTTTTGCCAGTTCCTTATGAAGACCTCTGTTTTTCCATTGCAGTTGTATGAAGACATCTTTGATGACAGCTTTACAATTGGAGGACGAGGGTTCCCTTATCACTTGGAAGACTTTGAGGCATACCCTTGTCTGCCCCAGCAGTCCAGTCTCCACAAAAATACTCACATGGTAGCACCATGGTACCAAAGTGATGCTGATGTCTTTAATCTGTTTAAGGTGAGTCTCTACACTTGTACCAAACTTTTCCTGAGCCAGCGGTTGCCAGTATGCCATCCTGAATGCCTACAAGAATTTACTCTTAGCAAACTTCAGCTGCCCTGATTTTCATTGCTACAAGTCATCTGTTCCTTGTTCACCTGTGTAGCCACACTCATTTGGGGACTAAGGGGAGAAAATGAAATTTATGAGTAAGCATAGTGCAAACCACTTGATTAGAGAAAGACAGTGTAAGAATGAATAAACTTAGTTTAGGCTACCATATCTGCAAAGGGTGAGTGGCAAAAATATCCCAGTAAGACCTGAGTACCTTAATCATATTTTGACCAGTTGCCATTTGGCTATTATTTTATTTGCAAACTCCTTTACTCTGTGTTTCATTGAGTCTCTCGTTACTTCTCAAAGCAGTTTTAATAAAAAGTCCTTCGCAGTTTGGCTTTATAGCTAACTGTTAAGACAAATGACAAAATAAGCTAATTCACTAACAAGAACAATAGTCAGAAAAAGATTAACAACGTATCTGCTAACTGAAACCCAAGCAGTGCTGCTTCTGACAGAATGCTGTTTAAAGAAATATATGCAAGTAAAAGCACCTCAAAATAGGAGAAGAGGGTAACATTAAAGCTTGGAATTCTTTTCTCTTAAGTTTTTCATAGGATATATGGTGTTTCACTCTGGCTCATTGTTAGGGTTAGGCATATGAAATTGAAATTTGCTTTTATGAGAAGTAATAATTGGCCCCAGTATTCCTCAGAAGTTGGTTTCCATTCCTCGTGCATTGGCCAGAGTCTGAGCCTGTAAGTCTATGCATATGTATATAAACAAGCAGCATTTTAAAATGTTTCAGCTACCACCAGCCCCCTTAAGATACCTGCTATCATGAGATATTTTCAACATTCCTTGATCCCTTTTATTTATCATTGATTTACTCTCTTCATTGTTTTCCCAGAAATTGCACATGAAAATATTAACTAACACTAGAATCAAGAAACCAGTTTCCTGTATGCAACCAGACTTTGTGGTAAAGATGCGTGGTGGAAACAACCATGTTGATAAGGAACAGACATGTCCATCTTCTTGACTGGGCTCTCTTCTCCCAGTTCTGGCCAGCTGAGATGGCTGACTTCCATCCTACTGCGTTTCTTGTTTGTCTATGAGAGCAATGAAGCTTGTGTCCAGTTCATTGGACCTGATTTATAAATCACGATAAAAGCTCAAATGTCTGTGCTTTATTGGCTGTCCCTGTGTTCTGTGCTCTTCACAGAAAATGTAGTATGCTCTCCACCAGCACTTTCATAGATTATTTAAGAGTACAACTCCATTTGAGCATGCTGGATCCCCCTGGATCCAGACCAAACTTGCTGGATCTGTCAGACTGAGCCTCAGCCTAAACTCCATCCAACTCTGTCTCCCTAAAGCTGTGTTCCTCAAAGATACAGACACTGTGCCAGATTCTCACTAAAAAGCCAGCCCTGTCCGCTCTTGTTCTGTGTCACAAGGCATTTAGTCTTACAAGACTTAGACACAAGGCATATGTCACAAGACATAGTAAAACGTTAGATTGCCTGTGAATGAAGAACTGATTTCACCTGGAGCTAAATATGCTGTTTTCTGCAGAGTATCTTGTTGGCCACAGTGATTCTGCACCTCGCTCTGATAACACAAGGAAGCCAAAGCCACGGACACTTTCCCCAGAGACCTGGATTTGGGATTTGGTCTCTGTTGGGTTGGTAACAGCCTCTACCTGCCTTCCCCAGAGAGACCCCTGGAGAATTCTGACTGCTTCTGAGCAAGTGGTCCTCTCTCTCTTTCTGCTGTAGGGATGATGGGCAAGCATCTGTCCAAGTTACTGTACCTGACACCATCACAGAATGGAACACCAACACCTTCTGTGTTGCTGATGCTGGCTTTGGGTTGTCTCCTTTGACCACTCTTAGGGCCTTCCAGGCTTTCTTTGTAGATCTGTCACTGCCGTACTCTGTGATCCAAGGAGAGACTTTCAGCCTAGAAGCCACTGTCTTCAACTACCTCAAGGACTGTATCCAGGTGAGTATTCCCCCAATTACACACCTCTCTTGGAGCAAAAACTTGAGCCCAAAGGCAAGCTATGAGCTTCTCAGGAGCCCTAGATACTGGCATCTGGGCCACAAAGCACAGCCTCACACTTCACAACCCATGGTGTTTGCTTCTTTGTGCAGTGCCTGGTACTAACACTATGCCAATGTGTGCTTGTACACCCCACCATGCTCAGGTGTGCACCACTCTCACAGAGACCCCAGAACTAAAGGTGGATGCCTGTCCAGACTGCTGGTTTACCAGCTGCCTCTGCGCCAATGAAGCAAAAACCTTTGAGTGGAATGTGACAGCCACCAGGCTGGGTGAGGTTGAGGGGAGAGATATGTAGCAGCTAGCAGGAGGAGGGGTGGAATTTGCCTGCCTCTGCATGTCTGGTCTCAATGCTCGTACATACAGCTCTCTGCTGCAAGAGCTCAGAGATGTGCCCCTGTGCTCCTTGCAGGTAAAGTAAATGTCACTGTCAGCAGTGTAGCAGAAGATTCACATGATCTGTGTGATAATAGGATTGCTGTGACACCTTTGCAAGGGGAGAGAGACATAGTGATAAAACCTCTTCTTGTGAAGGTTAGTCAGATCTCAGGGTGGAGAACACCTGGGACCAGGGGGTCATCCCCTAAGGCAGTTAGCAAGAGGCTAAGAGGAAGTTTAGTCCCTTCTTCTTGGAAGCAGACAGGCCTGCTGAGGCATGGTGACTTCCTTTTCTGCCTTCACTATCTGAACTACTCTTTCTCCATCTGCAGCCAGGAGGTGTCCTACAAGAGAAGACCCAAAATGCCTTTGTCTGTGCTGCAGGTATGGGACAAAAATCCCTGACTGCTATTAATCATAAGAGAAGGATGGAGGTAGCAGGGCTACTGCAAATACCCAGAGGTGGGGGGAATTTGTCAGAGAGCAAGTGCTGGTGGCACCACCCCTGCCTGAGAGAACAACCACTATAGTTTGTCCATGTCTGTCTTCTACCTGGCAAAGTCCCCTGTACTGAGGCATTTGTTTCCAAGTCTTGGCTGCTGTGACTCAACATAACACTGAGCCTCACCTGGGTCTCCTTGGGATGTTACACTCGTGTGTGATACTTCTTCCATGGGATAAATTTCTGGGTTCTGCCTTCCTCAGATAACACCATCTCTAAAGAGTCCTCCTTGACCTTGCCTGCAGAAGTGCTGGAGGGATCTGGCCGAGCCACTTTCTCTGTGATTGGTGAGAAAGGCTTTCCCTGCTCTTGGGTCCCCAGTGGGAAGAGTTTGCACAATGCTTTGGCCTTAATGATGCATCGACCCAGTCCCTCATGAGATAAATTGTAAGAGGTGTGACGTTGGCCTCAAAAATGTGGATCATGTAATCATTTTCAATATTTATTCCTCTCATAAGGAATGATCCTGGGTGATCTCCAAGTGGCAGGGTATCTCCTCTGTCACAGCCATCCACCTAAGTCAACCAAAATCATGCCTGCAGCTTTCCACCTAGTTTGCCTCTATAATTCTTTTCTCTCCTTGATACCCACTCAGGAATGACAGCTCTCTTCACCTTTCTTCAGATCCCCTCATGTTTGTCCCTCCTCCCAGAACCACAGCGTCTTCCTTTTCTGTGCTGGCCTAATCTAGAAAGGGTCAGCAGAAATCTTAATCATCTCCATTCAAGGAGGGGCTGGCTCTTTTCCAGGATCCCAGCACAGTTTAGAGAAGGCAGCTGTCCCTTTGTTTCATACTGCTGAATATGTGTGCTTTTCCTTTCTCTTGCCCCTTCACCTCAAACTTAAGGGGACATCATCGGCCCAGCACTTCAAAATTTAGACCAGCTGCTACAGATGCCCTTTGGCTGTGGTGAACAGAACATGGTTCACTTTGCACCAAACATCTTCATACTCCAGTACTTGAATAAAACTAAACAGCTGGACCCAGAAATTGAAGATAAAGTATTGAAATTCCTGAGAACACGTAAACATTGTCCTTCTTCCTGCTGCTGCAAAATGAAGGTACTATAAATCAAGAGTGTGGGGCACTCGTCTGGTGGGGAGGTGCAGGGCAGGAGTGGGAGCACTGCCAAAACTGTGACAAAGGAAGATATCACAGAGAATAAGGGAAATGTCTTATGGAAGGAAAAGCGTGTTTCTGAAGAAGCAGGACTTTTGTCTCTGCCTGTTATTGAGGTACTAAGCCTGCTTTTCTGAGAAGGGTGTGGGTAGTTAATGATTTCCACCACTATGTGATGCCTGTGGTTTGTTCCCTCATCAGTCCAAGGCAGACTGAAGTCCCTTGTAGAAACAGGGCATCAGCTGCTATTAATTGGAATAAAGAGTGGCCTTTGGGTATAGATAGGAGTTTGGTAGTTTAGTGTTTCTCTGTGTTTTGGGACACGTATTGTGGGGGCATGTCAGCTCTGTCCAATATAATCTGAATTTAATACAGTGCTAGTGCCTGTGTCTCATTTTGCAATGTGCCTCACATTCCAGACTGTTGGTCTCCTTATTCTGCTATGCCACAAGCTCAGCAGCCTCCCATGGACAAGAATTTACTCCCTCCCCTTCCTCCTTTGTCTCCTGTACCATGAGTTAGGACAGATATCTTGGAGAGTGGAGCATATGCAAGAGAATGGCAGCAGCGGAGGGTGGAGGGTAAACCGCGAAGCTGTGTGGAGGGTGGAGGAAGAACAAACAGATGTGGACAGCGTTCTGCCCTCAGAGCTTAAAGGCATGGCCTTGTCGCTTTCTGTACGTCCCATAAAAAGTGCTTTCTTGAGTCCCAACAGGGCTAGCAGAAGTGCTGAAAAACAAACAGGGTTTCATGTTGGTCCCCTCTAGGAAAAGCCTTTCTCCTCACTCCTGCAGCTCTTTTTATTGACAGCAAGGTGCCCATGAGGGTTCTCTGGGACACGGGGAGACATGAGGTGGGTGAGCATGTCACTCTTCTGCAAACCATCAGGGCAGATACCCACAGTACTTGCACATAGTAGCTCTAGTAATGTAAAGCAGCCGCGTGGCACACTTCAGTGAAGCTGTGCAACTGCTTCTTGTCACACTGATGTTGTGGGATACACAGGGAATTGTGGGGTGGTAGGTTTTCCTCAATGTCTCTGATTGTAGGACCTGGTGAAGTCTCTCGCTGTGAAGCCTTACTCCCACAGCAAGGATACAGTTTGAGATGCTACAGGCCCTCACACTGAGACTTGTGTCCTGGCACCTGTCTTCATAGGTTATCAGTGTCAGCTGCTCTACAAACATGATGATGGCTCCTATAGCACCTTTGGGAAAGCTGACAACCAGGGCAACACATGGTGAGTGACAAGAGTTGGTACTGTCATCCAAAACCTATTGTCCTTGCTGGTTCAGCTCCTGGCTGTGACATGGGATTCCTTTGTGCTTTGCCCACAGGCTGACAGCTTTTGTAGCCAGGTCCTTTGGACAAGCCAGCTCTCACATTTACATCAATAAGGATCATGTGCACAATGCTCTGCTCTGGCTGCAGAAGCACCAGCTGCCCAGTGGCTGCTTCCAGAGTGTGGGGAAGCTCTTCAACAATGACTTGAAGGTGTGGCTGCCAGACATGGGAATGGGAGGAACACAATGTGGGGCACAGGGTTGCTTCCCCAGGCTCTTCCACTGTGCACAGTAGCACGAAGAAATGTCCCCATGGCCTAGCACAGCCAAGGCAGCTTCCCAGAGCAGAATGAAAAAGCACAGCCTAAACCAGCAGGCATTTCCTTGTCCTGGTTTCAGCTGGGATAGAGTTAATTTTCTTCCTTGTAGCTGCCATAGTGCTGTGTTTCAGATTTAGTATGAGAATAATGTTGATAACACACTGATGTTTTAGCTGTTGCTAAGTAGTGTTTGTACTAGTCCAGGACTTTTCAGCTTCCCATGCTCTGCCAGGTGCACAAGAAACTGGGAGGGGGCACAGCCAGAATAGTTGATCCAAACTGACCAAAGGGCTATTCCATACCATACGACTTCATGCTCAGTATATAAACTGGGGGAGCTGGCTGGGGGGCAGAGATCACTGCTCGGGAACTGGCTGGGTATCGGCTGGTGGGTGGTGAGCAATTACATTGTGCATCACTTGCTTTGTATATTATTATTACTGTTATTGTTATATTGTTATTATTACTACTACTATTTTACTTTTATTTCAATTATTAAACTTCATTTTTACTCTAGCCAAAAGGCACCATGGCTAATTGTGCCAAGGCACTTCAAGGGCACAGGGAGAAATATTTTTATATTTTAGTGCTCGTCTAGAATACCCTGTCTGGATTCTCCTTCTTCTCATGCCTTATGACACACAATACTCTCCAGATAGGTCTGACTATGTGCTCTAATATGGGATTATCTGAAGACACTGTTGTCCCTCCACCACCCAAAAAGTATGACTTCTCCTGGAGCCTGGCATCCCCAAAATGATCCCTGCAGTGTAGCTGGAAATTCACCACACTCTTGGTGAACATGCTCTAGTGCTCAGGTACCAAACAGTGTGCATGCAGTATGGCAATACTTGTGTTCACTGGCTTTATAAAGGCAAGAATAATCCAGACTGGTCAGATTGCAAAGTTGCCTTTATTAAATACAAGGCAGGTTCATGAAAGAAAACAGGCTGCTATTTTAGCAAAGTAAAAGGTTACACATTTTTTCTCAAAATTTGGATGCAGTACAAAATAAAACCAAAGTGTACATGTAGAATGTTCACTCTTGTCTGCCTTCCATTAATTTCTCAGCTTGGGCTTTCTATTTGAACAGAACTTTTCAGAATACATTTTGCCCCCACCCCCCTTTACACCTCAAAGTTTCTGCTATTCAGTATGAATGATGCTTCTCAGCATCTCAGCCCAAATTTCCCCCCTAATTTTAGATGTAGTCTTGTCTCATGTCTGGGGATGCAAGCAGAACTTCCCCAAGAATGAATGTCCTCTGATGGGAAAAGAGGTTTCTGAGAGCCTGTTTACCCATAGACGCTCACAAGTCTATGGGGCCAGATGGGATCCACCCGAGAGTACTGAGGGAGCTGGCAG